CCCCCTCGTTGTGGGCTCTTCCTTTATGGGACAAGCCAATATGGTTGGGGTACCCCAGAGGGTGAGTGTTGTTGGACTCTACCCTGATCTGGTTCGTTTAGAGAACTAGTTCTTGTGGGGCAAGACCACCCTAGTTGGAATTAGCTCGTTTGTTTTGTAGGTAAACTTATCTATCTGATTTGGGAATCGGTTCAGTTGGAACCGGTTCATTGGGGAGCTAGTTCTTGTGAGGGTGGGCAGCCTAGTTGGAATTAGTTCATTTGTTTTGTGAGGTAAACTTATTTACCTAATTGGGGAAATCAGTTCATCTGTGCAAAGATGCTGAAATTTGTCATGTTTTAGTTGGAATTCATCTGTGTCTTTTGTGTTTTGGTGTTATAAAGTTCATAAAAATGGGAAATATTTCATCTGTCCTGAAGGAAAGATCTTTGGGGTCCATATTAGATATGTTAAGATCAGAACAATGACCCCGAATGGCTCACAATTAAGCAATCTGGTCAGAAGCACTTTACAAAGGAGAGGAACACTCATATTGTGTAGGCCCAGGGGCTGTCTTGGACTTGAGGCATCCAATACTAATTTCCTCTAGAGGAGTCCCAGGTAACTTTGATGGTGGGGGACAAGTTGATTGACTTTCTAAAACACACTACTTTCTTTTATAAGTTAAATGTGCAAATAACCTTTACCCCAGAACAGCGTGATAATCAAGGTTCTACCACGGCCTTTTTGACCAGTCTGAGGTACATTGGCTCAAATTCGGTGTGTTCTCCCCATGAAGGGAAACTGCATTTATAAGGCACTTTGGGGAAGGTCATTGGTCTAATGGGACTGTGAAGTTATGTTAATATGACTTTCCAGCTTATTCTGGTTAATTTGGTAACGTGCAAATATCTGGTAATATGAGTTTCCTCTAAGGCTTCCTTTATGGTTTTCTCACTTCTTTCTCCTCAAACCCACTGTGAACAGCTGAGCAACTATGGGAACAAGTGAGGAACTGTGGCCAGGGTTATTCTCTTGCTGTTGTTCAGTTGCTCAGTTGTGTCCAATTCTTTGTGACCCCATGGACTGTAGCACTCCAGGCTTCCCTGTCCTTCACCATCTGCCCTGTCTTTCACCATGGTGAAACTCATGTCCTTTGAATTGGTGATGCCATCTTGTCCTCTGTTGTCTCCTTATCCTCCTGCCTTCAATCTTTGCCCGCATAAGGGTTTTTCCAAAGAGTCTGCTTTTCACATCAAGTGGCCAAATACTGGAGCTACAGCTTCAGCATCATTTGTGTTTTGGTGTTATAAAGTTTATAAAAATGGGAAATACTTCATTTCAATTGCCCTGCTTCATTGGAATATCTTTGGGGTCCATATTAGATATGTTAAGATCAGAAGACCAATGGCCCCTGAAAGGCTCACAATTAAGCAATCTTCCCCAAAGATCCTTCCAATGAATATTCAGGGCTGATTTCCTTTAGGATTGACTGGTTTAATCTTATAGTCCAGGGGACTCTCAAGAGTCTTCTCCAACACCACAGTTGATCACACCATCATGATTATATGAGTCATTGAGATCTTTATGGTATAGTTCTTCTGTATATTCTTGCCAGCTTTTCTTAATATCTTCCATGTCTGTTAGGTCCATACAGTTTCTCTTCTTTACTGTGCCCATCTTTGCATGACATACTCCCTTGGCATCTCTAATTTTCTTGAATAAATCTCTTGCCTTTCCCATTCTATTATTTTCTTCTCTTTCTTTGTGTTGTTCACTTACGAAGGTTTACTTATCTCTCCTTGTGTTCTTTGTAACTCTGCATTCAGATGGATATTTCTTTCCTTTTCTCCTTTGCATTTCACATCTGTTCTTTACTCAGCTATTTGTAAGGCCTCCTCAGACAGCCATTTTGCCTTTCTTTTCTCTTGGGGATGGTTTTAATCACTGCTTCTTGTACAGTGTTACGAACCTCTATCCATAGTTCTTCAGGCATTCTGTCTATCTGATCTAATCCCTTGATTCTATTTGTCACTTCTGCTGTATAAAGGATTTGATTTGGATCATACTCGAATGCCTTAGTTCTTTTTGTTTTCTTCAACTGAAGTCTGAATTTTCAAAAAGGAGTTATGGTCTGAGTCACAGTCAGCTTCCCATCTTCTTTTTACTGACTGTATAGAGCTTCTCCATCTTTGACTGCAAAGAATATAATCAATCTGATTTCAGTGTTGGCCATCTGGTGATGTCCATGTGTACACAACAATGTGTACATTGTTGGAAGAGGGTGTTTGCTATGACCAGGGTGTTCTCTTGGCAAAACTCTGCTAGCCTTTGCCCTACTCCAAGGCCAAACCTGCCTGTTACTCCAGGTATCTCTTGATTTCCTACTTTTGCATTCCAGTCCCCTAGGATTAAAAGGACATTCTTTTTTGGTGTTAGTTCTATAAGTTCTCATACGTTTCCTTAGAACCATTCAGCTTTACCTGCTTCGGCCTTGTGGTTGGGGCATAGACTTGGATTACTCTGATGGTGAACGCTTTGCCTTGGAAATGAGCTGAGATCATTTGTTTGTTTCTGAGATTGTTTTTGAGATCAAAGTTGTTTTTGAGATTGCACCCGAGTACTGCATTTCAGACTCTTTTTTGATGATGAGGACTAACACATTTCTTCTAAGGGATTCTTACCAACAAGAGTAGATATAATCATCATCTGAATTAAATTTGCCCATTCTCATCCATTTTAGTTCACTGATTCCTAAAATGTTGATGTTCACTCTTGCCATCTCCTGTTTGACCACTTCCAATTTACCTTGATTCATGGACCTAACTTTCCAGGTTTCTATGCAATATTGTTCTTTACAGCATCTGGCTTTACTTTCATCACCAGTCACATCCACAACTGGGCATTGTTTTTGCTTTGGCTCCATCTCTTCATGCTTTCTTGAGTTATTTCTGTACTCTTCTCCAGTAGCATATTTGGTACCTCCCAACCTGTGGGGTTCATCTTTCAGTGTTATATCTTTTTGCCTTTTCATACTGTTCAAGAGGTTCTCAAGGTAAGAATTCAGAAATGGTTTGCCTTTCCATTATCTAGTGGATCACATTTTGTCAAAACTCTCCACCATGACCTGTCCATCTTGGGTGGCCCTACAGAGCATGGCTCATAGTTTCATTGAATGAGACAAGGCTGTGATCCGTGTGATCAGTTTGGTTAGTTTTATGTGACTGTGGTTTTCATTCTATCTGCCCTCTGATGAATGAGGATAAGAGGCTTATACTTATCCTCTTGAGGATACTGGCTCTGGGGAAAACTGGGTCTTTCTCTGGTGAGCAAGGTCATGCTCAGTAAATCTTTAATCCAGTTTTTGTGCTGATGGGTGAGGCTGTGTTCCCTCCCTGTAGTTTGGCCTAAGGCCACACTGTGGTAGGAGTAATGGTTCAGTTCAGTTCAGTTCAGTCGCTCAGTCGTGTCTGACTCTTTGCGACCCCATGAATCACAGCACGCCAGGCCTCCCTGTCCATCACCAACTCCTGGAGTTTACTCAAAATCATGTCCATAAAGTTAGTGATGCCATCCAGCCATCTCATCCTCTGTCATCCCCTTGTCCTCCTGCCCCCAATCCCTCCCAGCATCAGGGTCTTTTCCAATGAGTCAACTCTTCTCATGAGGTGGCCAAAGTATTGGAGTTTCAGCTTCAGCATCAGTCCTTCCAATGAACACTCAGGACTGATTCCCTTTAGGATGGACTGGTTGGATCTCCTTGCAGTCCAAGGGACTCTCAAGAGTCTTCTCCAACACCACAGTTCAAAAGCAGCAATTTTTTGGCGCTCAGCTTTCTTCACAGTCCAACTCTCACGTCCATACATGACCACTGGAAAAATGATAGCCTTGACTAGACGGACCTTTGTTGGCAAAGTAATGTCTCTGCTTTTTAATATGCTGTCTAGGTTGGTCATAACTTTCCTTCCAAGGAGTAAGAGTCTTTCAATTTCATGGCTGCAATCACCATGCAATCACCATGCAATCACCAAAATCTGCAGTGATTTTGGAGCCCCCCAAAATAAAGTCTGACACTGTTTCCACTGTTTCCTCATCTATTTCCCATGAAGTGATGGGACCAGATGTCATGATCTTAGTTTTCTGAATGTTGAGCTTTAAGCCAACTTTTTCACTCTCCTCTTTCACTGTCATCAAGAGGCTCTTTTGAAGTTCCTCTTCACTTTCTGCCATAAGGGTGGTGTCATCTGCATATCTGAGGTTATTGATATTTCTCCCAGAAATCTTGATTCCAGCTTGTGCTTCTTCTAGCCCAGCGTGTCTCATGATGTATTCTGCACATAAGTTAGCGGGGTGACAATATACAGCCTGGACATACTCTTTTTCCTATTTGGAACCAGTCTGTTGTTCCATGTCCAGTTCTAACTGTTGCTTCCTGACCTGCATATAGGTTTCTCGAGAGGCAGGTCAAGTGGTCTGGTATGCCCATCTCTTTCAGAATTTTGCACAGTTTATTGTGATCCACACAGTCAAAGGCTTTGGCATAGTCCATAAAGCAGAAATAGATGTTTTTCTGGAACTCTCTTGCTTTTTTGATGATCCAGCAGATGTTAGCAATTTGATCTCTGGTTCCTCTGCCTTTTCTAAAACCAGCTTGAACATCTGGAAGTTCACAGTTCACATATTGCTGAAGCCTGGTTTGGAGAATTTTGAGCATTACTTTACTAGCTTGTGAGATGAGTGCAATTATGCAGTAGTTTGAGCATTCTTTGGGATTGCCTTTCTTTGGGATTGGAATGAAAATTGACCTTTTCCAGTCCTGTGGCCACTGCTGATTTTTCCAAATTTGCTGGCATATAGAGTGCAGCACTTTCACAGCATCATCTTTCAGGATTTGAAATAGCTCAACTGCAATTCCATCACCTCCACTAGCTTTGTTCATAGTGATGCTTCCTAAGTCCCACTTGACTTACATGTTCATTTTATTGTCTCTCTTCTTCATATCAGTCCATGTTTTCTTTCAGGTTGTCTGGGCAGATAGTTACAAAGTTGGCTGTGCAGTACACTTTTGTCCTCAAGTTTCTGGCTTCCGAGGTCTTCTCAATGGAGCACATTTTATATGCAACTACGGACCAGCGTAAGTGCTCAAATTAATTACTTTTTTGGAAAACAAACTATTTTAGAAGTATTTATCTTCATTAAATAGATACAGAAAATAGATCTGGATGATAGTGTAAAAGAGAAAATGAATGTTACCCATTAATTCCTCTGCCCAGTTTTCTTTGTATGTTTGCTTGTATGTGTGTGTATATACACTTTTATAAACACTGTGTAAGTGCACACACACACAGAGACACATATGTTCAAGAGTAGCAAGACTCAATGTTTTCAGGGACATGGATTAATTGGTTATGGTAATAATACCACAAGATGGGAAGATGTTCTCTAACATCCTATTATATTAACTTATTATAATTTTCTCAAAACAAAAAAACAAAAAAAAAACACCCACTCTGAATTGAACTCCTCAATCTGTATAACTTATTCACATACTTTTGACAGTTTTGTTTTTGAAAGGCATAATTTTTCTCCTTTTGAAAAATGGGAAGGCATAGGACATCTCCCCCAACTTCCTTTAAATGTATATGTATGTTCTTTTGCATCATATACAAACTTAGAAAACAGAGATCATAAAGGAAATTCATGCTTTTCTAGATTTTAGTTACAATTTTGTATTCACATTTTCCATGGTATTAAAGTTTTTAAATGGATTACAGTAGTTAAAAACAATGATATAATAATTTTATAAAGCTTACTGTGTGCTAAGCACTGTTTTAAGTGCTTCACATATATTAAAGGTATTTAATCTTCATAAAAAGTCTGTGATACAGATTCTGCTCTTACCCCTGTTTTGCAGATAAGACAGCTGAGGCCCTGACAGGGTGCCTGGCCTGCCCAGGGTCCCACAGTTAGTGAACGTCATAGTTGGACTGTGACTTGGGAGGTCTGGCTCCAGAGTCTGTGTTCTTGTTAGGAACAGCTCACCCTATTGAAGAACTGAGACTGTTCCCTGTGTTTCCTTTTACTTACTTATTTATTTATATTGAAGTCTAGTTGATTTACATTATCGTGTTAGTTTCACATGTACAGCACATTCAGTTTTATGTATATATATTTTTTCTTTTTCAAATTCTTTTCTCTTATAGAGAGAGATACATAAATAATATTGAGTATAGTCCCATGTGCTATACAATAGGTCTTAGTTGATTATTTTATATGTATTACTATATGTATTATATCTATGTAGTATCTATTTTATATTTTATATGTAGTACAGTGTATGCGTCAGTCCTAAACTCCTAATTTATCCCTCCCCCATCCCTTTCCCTTTGGTGGCTATAAGTTTATTTTCTATGTCTCTGGGTCTATTCCTGTTTTGTGTAAATAAGTACCATTCTTTTTATTCCACGTATAAGTGATATCACATGACATTTGTGTATGTCTGGCTTACTTTGCTTAGTGTGATAATCTCCAGATCCATCCCTGTTGCTGCAAATGGCATTATTTCATTCTATAATATATTATATATTCTATATAATATTCTATAATATTCTGTAGGTTGTTTCCATGTCTTTGTTATTGTAATAGTAATGCTATGAATATTGGGGTGCATGTGTCTTTTTGAATTAGAATTTTCTTGGATTATATGCCCTGGTGTGGGATTGTAGGATCAAACGGCAACTTTTAGTTTTTCTAACAAATCTCCATACTGTTCTCCATAGTGGCTGTACCAAATTACATTCTCATCAACAGTGTAGGAGGGCTACTTGTTCTCTACAACCTCTCCAATCTTTATCATTGGTAGACATTTTATGATGGCCTTTCTGATGGGAGTGAAGTGACACTTCATTGTAGCTTTGATTTTCATTTCTCGATGCAAATGTGTTGAACATTTGCACGTGATGTTGAGTATCTTTTTATGTGCCATTTGGTCATCTGTGTGTCTTCTTTAGAGAAATGTTTATTTAGATCTTCTGCCCATTTTTAAATTGGGTTGTTTCTTGGTTTTTTGTTTGTTTTTTGTTACTGAGCTGTATGAGCTGTTTTTATATTTTTGAAATTAATTCCTTGTCAGATCCATCATTTGCAATTATTTTCTCCTATTCCATAGGTTGTCTTTCTGTTTATGGTTTGCTATGCAGAAGTTTTTGGGTGTCTCCTGAGGAGGTACGGGTCAGCAGTGGACTGCTGCGGGGCCAGGGGCTCTGGGTGCAGTAGACCTGGGTACTGCTGCGGGGCCAGGGGCTGTGAGTGCGGTAGACCTGGGTATGGCATAAGCCCTCTTGGAGGAGATCTCCATTAACCCACCACAGAGCCACCAGAACTTACGCAGGACTGGGAAACAGACCCTTGGGGGGCACAAACAGAACGTTGTGCACCAGGACCCAGGAGAAATAGCAGTGACCCCACAAGAGACTGACCCAGATTTGCCTGTGAGTGTCCAAGAGTCTCTGGTGGAGGCGTGGGTCTGCGGTGGCCTGCTGCAGGGCTGGGGGCACTGAGTATAGCAGTGCCTGCATAGGACCTTTTGAAGGAGGTCACCATTGTCTTCATTATCTCCACCAAAGTTTGGCCCCAGGTAAATAACAGGGAGGGAACACAGCCCCACCCTTCAACAGAAAATTGGATTAAAAATTTACTGAGTGTGCCCCCCGATCAGAACAAATCCAGTTTCCCCTTCAAATTAGTCTCTCCCATCAGGAAGCTTCCATAAGCCTCTTATCCTCTCCATCAGAGGTCAGACAGACTGAAAACCATAATCACAGAAAACTAACCAATCTGATGGACCACATGGACCACAGCCTTGTCTAACTCAATGACACTATAAGCCATGCTGTGTAGGGCCACCCAAGAACAGGTCATGGTGGAGAGTTCTGGTGAAATGTGGTCCTCCAGAGAAGGAAATGTCAAACCACTTCAGTATTCTTGCCTTGAGAACCCCATGAACAGTATGAAAAGGCAAAACCATAGGACACTGAAAGATGAACTCCCCATGTCAGTAGGTATCCAATATGCAACTGGAGATCAGTGGAGAAATAACTACAGAAGGAATGAAAACAGAGCCAAAGCAAAAACACCCAGTTGTGGATGTGACTGGTGATGAAAGTAAGTCTGATGCTGTAAAGAGCATAGGAACCTGAAATGTTAGGTCCATGAATCACGGCATATTGAAAGTGGTCAAACAGGAGATGGCAAGAGTGAACATTGACATTTTAGGACTCAGCGAAATAAAATGGACTGGAGTGGGTGAATTTAACTCAGATGACCATTTTATATACTGTGGGCAGGACTCCCTTAAAAGAAATGGAGTAGCCATCATAGTCAACAAGAGTCCAAAATGCATCCAAGCTCAAAACCGACAGAATGATCTCTTTTCATTTCCAAGGCAAACCATTCAATATCACAGTAATCCAAGTCTATGCCCTCACCAATAAAGATGAAGAAGCTGAAGTTGAATGGTTCTGTGAAGACCTACAAGACCTTCTAGAACTAAGACCCCAAAAAGATGTCCTTTTCATTATAGGGGACTGGAATGCAAAAGTAGGAAGTTAAGAAATACCTGGAGTATTGGGAAAGTTTGGCCTTGGAGTACAGAATGAAGCAGGGCAAAGGCTAACAGAGTTTTGCCAAGAGAATGCACTGGTCCTAGTCCTTTCCATAGTGCGTTCCTCTTCCAACAACATAAGAGAAGACTCTACACATGGACATCACCAGATGGTCAATACTGAAATCAGACTGATTATATTCTTTGCAGCCAAGGATGGAGAAGCTCTATACAGTCAGCAAAAACAAGACCAGGAACTGACTGTGGCTCAGATCATGAACTCCTTGTTGCCAAATTCAGACATAAATTGAAGAAAGTGGGAAAAACCACTAGACCATTCAGGTATGATGTAAATCAACTCCCTTACAACTAAACAGTGGAAGTGACAAAAAATTCAAGGGATTAGATCTGATAGACAGAGTGCCTGAAGAACTATGGACGAAGGTTCATAACATTGTACAGGAGGCAGTGATCAAAACTATCCCCAAGAAAAAGAAATGCAAAAGGGAAAATGGTTGTCTGAGGAAGACTTACAACCAGCTATGAAAAGAAGAGAAGCGATAAGCAAAGGATAAAAATAAAGATATGCCCATTTGAATGCAGAGTTCCAAAGAATAGCAAGGAGAGATAAGAAAGCCTTCCTCAGTGATCAATGCAAAGAAATACAGGAGAACAACAGAATGGGAAAGACTAGAGATCTCTTCAATAAAATTAGAGATACCAAGGGAACATTTCATGCAAAGATGGGCTTGATAAAGGACATAAATGGTATGGACCTAACAGAAGCAGAAGATATTAAGAAGAGGTGGCAAGAATACACAGAAGAACTATACGAAAAAGATCTTCATGTCCCAGATAATCATGATGGTGTGATCATTCACCTAGAGTCAGACATTCTGGAATGCGAAGTCAAGTGGGCCTTAGGAAGCATCATTGTAAACAAAGCTAGTAGAAGTGATGGAATTACAGCTGAGCTATTTCAAATCCTAAAAGGTGATGCTGTGAAAGTGCCTTTTCCAATATGCTAGCAAATCTGGAAAACTCAGCAGTGACCGCAGGACTGGAAAAGGTCAGTTTTCATTCCAATCCCAAAAAAGGCTCTGCCAAAGAATTCTCAAACCACCGCACAACTGCACTCTTTTCACATGCTAGTAAAGTAATGCTCAAAATTCTCCAAGCTAGGTTTCAACAGTACATGAACCGTGAACTTCCAGATGTTCAAGCTGGATTTAGAAAAGGCAGAGAAACCAGAGATCAAATTGCCAACATCTGTTGAATCATCGAAAAAGCAAGAAAATTTCAGAAAAACATCTACTTTTGCTTTATTTATTGTGCCAAAGCCTTTGGCTGTGTGGATCACAACAAACTGTGGAAAATTCTGGAAGAGATGGGAATACCAGACCACCTGACCTGCCTCCTGAGAAATCTGCAGGTCAAGAAGCAACAGTTAGAACTGGATATGGAACAACAGACTGGTTCCAAATCAGGAAATCAGTATGTCGAGGCTGTATATTGTCACTCTGCTTGTTTAA